TTTATTACCATGGGAAATGCTGATTTTTTTCTCCTATTTCCTTGTGCTCATGGAGTGGTTTGGGCGGGAAGGGACCTTAAGCTTCTCCTGATTCCCCATTCCAGGGGTTCTTCCATGGGCACCTTCCACCATCCCAGGCTTTCCCATCCTTGGACTCCTCCAGGGATGAGGCAACCTCAGCTTCTCTGGGAATTCTGTTCCAAGGCCTCACCACCCTCCCATGGCATTTGTCACATCACAATTTGGGTTGGTTTCCCTTGATTTCCTAAAATTTGTGATCGTTTCTGTCTCCTCCATCAATTTTTGAAACCAATTTTGACAACAAGCAGTGGTTTCTCACCACTTTTCTCCATAATTTGTGATTTTCTACTCATCAGCTCAAATGGAGAAAAATTTGTTCCTCCCATTTCTGCTTTGCTTTCTCTAAAGGGGTGTCAAACCAAAAAACAAGAGGCATAAAATGCAAAATCTGGACCTTTTAACCCAAATTTTTAATTTATTCCACACCAGTGCCAAGGTGGGTGTCAACCCTTACCCCATTCTTTACTCCCTCAAAAAAAAAACTCATTTAATCTCTACGATCTCACAGCAAATTTTATTTTATTTTATTTTATTTTATTAAATTAACTTAAATTAACTTAAATTAAATTAAATTAAATTAAATTAAATTAAAATTTTATTTTATTAAAATTGTATTATATTAAAATTTTTATTTATTTATTTTATTCATTTATTTTATTTTAGGCCCAATTTTATTTTATTTCCCCTTTAATTTTGTCACACCTGTCAAAACGTGGTGAAAACCATCAAAAATACCCCATGAAAGAGCATTTTTTAATTTCCCCTTTAATTTTGTCACATCTGTCAAAAAATAGTGAAAACCATCAAAGATACCCCATGAAAGAGCATTTTATTTTATTTCCCCTTTAATTTTGTTAATTCTGTCCAAAAAAATTGTGAAAATAAGAAAAAATACCTCACGAAAGATCATTTTTGGTGCTTTTTCATGGGATCTTCATGCAGTGCTCACAACCCAGTTAAATTTTTTTTTGCTTTTTGGTTTGATTTATTCTTGGTTTTGGTTTTCTTTCTTAGCAGTTTTGGCATCTTGCGCCTTCAGAACCCCTGGTGCTGCTCCAGGGGTGATGCCAAACATTTCAAATCGTTCTGGTGCCTTTTTAAGTCAGACCTAAAGTTAAACCAGCCCTGAAAAAAGCCTTGAACTAAACCCAAGCTTATTTGAATTTAGTGGTGCAACTGTTAAACCACAGAGAATCCTCAGGAAATTACTCAAAGGTGACAAGGAAGGCAGAAAAAAAAAAATTTCTCATTTTTTTCAAGTCTCTGTCATCCCCATCCCCCCCCCACCCCAGCTATTTTTCACCAAAATTCTCAATTTCATCTCTTCATTCTTAAAAAAAATAACTCCTGCTGCTATTTAGCTGATAATTTTGCAATATCAACCTGAAGCTTTCTAAATACTGGGTTTAAATATGAATTAGTGCCATTGATTATTGCTCTTTACCAGGTACAGCTGGAGCCAGCAGAGATGAGCTCTTTCCAAAAGGTTTGATCCCGGAAAAAAAATCTTGGAATCGTGGAATGGTTTGGGTGGGAAGGGACCTAAAACTCCTCCAATTCCATGGGCAGGGACACTCCCACCATCCCAAATTTCTCCAAGCACCATCCAACAATTCCAGGCATGGAGCAGCCACAGTTTCTTGGAAAAAAAATCTCATTTTACTGAGAGATGCCAGCCTGGAAAAATCCTCCGATTCTGCCTTGGCAGGATGGAATGATTCCAGTTTTTATGGAATTATTGCCATGGATTTTCCAGCTCCATCATTGTGCTGACCAGAATGGATTTAGGGAATTTCATCCTCCCGCAGGGGCAAAATTGCTATTTTCTCCAAAATGGATATTTTCTCCCAAACTGGTATTGTCTCCAAAATGGATATTTTCTCCAAAATTGGAATTTTTATGAGAAAAACAGATATGAAAAATCCATATAGGAAAAATCCTCCATTTCTCACTTGGCAGGATGGGGCAATTGTAGTTTTAATTGAATTATTGCCATGGATTTTCCAGTTCCCACCAGAAGTTTCCCAGTGGATTTATGGAATTTCATTCTCCTGCAGGGGCAAAATTGCTATTTTCTCCAAAATTGGTATTTTCAGGAGAAAAATTTACATGAAAAATCCATATATGAAAAATCCTCCAATTCTGCCTTGGCAGGATGGAGCAATTGCAGTTTTAATGGAATTATTGCCATGGATTTTCCAGCTCCATCATCATGCTGACCAGAATGGATTTAGGGAATTTCATCCTCCTGCAGGGGCAAAATTGCTGTTTTCTCCAAAATGAATATTTTCTCCCACATTGGTATTTTCTGGATAAAAACATATATGAAAAATCCTCCAATTCTCACTTGGCAGAATGGAACAATTGTAGTTTTATTGGAATTATTGCCATGGGTTTTCCAGCTCTATCATTTCAAACCAGAAGTTTCCCACTGGATTTATGGAATTTCATTCTCCTGCAGGGGCAAAATTGCTATTTTCTCCCAAATTGGTATTTTCAGGAGAAAAACATACATGAAAAATCCATATATGAAAAATCCTCCATTTCTCACTTGGCAGAATGGAGCAATTGCAGTTTCTATGGAATTATTGCCATGGATTTTCCAGTTCCCTCATTTCAAACCAGAATGGATTTGTGGAATTTCATCCTCCTGCAGGGCCAAAATTGGTATATATTCTCCCAAACTGGTATATTGTCCCAAATTGGTATATTCTCCAAAATGGATATTTTCTCCCAAACTGGTATTGTCTCCAAAATGGATATTTTCTCCAAAATTGGAATTTTTATGAGAAAAATATATATGAAAAATCCATATATGAAAAATCCTCCATTTCTCACTTGGCAGGATGGGGCAATTGCAGTTTCTATGGAATTATTGCCATGGATTTTCCAGCTCCATCATTTCAAACCAGAAGTTTCCCACTGGATTTATGGAATTTCATTCTCCTGCAGGGGCAAAATTGCTATTTTCTCCAAAATTGGTATTTTCAGGAGAAAAACGTACATGAAAAATCCATATATGAAAAATCCTCCAATTCTCCCTTGGCAGGATGGAACAATTGCAGTTTTTATGGAATTATTACCATGGATTTTCCAGCTCCATCATTGTGCTGACCAGAATGGATTTAGGGAATTTCATCCTCCTGCAGGGGCAAAATTGGTATTTTCTCCAAAATGAATATTTTCTCCCAAATTGGTATTCTCAGGAGAAAAACGTACATGAAAAATCCATATATGAAAAATCCTCCAATTCTGCCTTGGCAGGATGGAACAATTGCAGTTTTTATGGAATTATTGCCATGGATTTTCCAGCTCCATCATCATGCTGACCAGAATGGATTTAGGGAATTTCATCCTCCTGCAGGGACAAAATTGGTGTTTTCTCCAAAATGAATATTTTCTCCCAAATTGGTATTTTCTGGATAAAAACATACATGAAAAATCCATATATGAAAAATCCTCCATTTCTCCCTTGGCAGGATGGAGCAATTGTAGTTTTAATGGAATTATTGCCATGGATTTTCCAGTTCCCTCATTTCAAACCAGAATGGATTTATGGAATTTCATCCTCCTGCAGGGCCAAAATTGGTATATATTCTCCCAAACTGGTATATTGTCCCAAATTGGTATATTCTCCAAAATGGATATTTTCTCCCAAACTGGTATTGTCTCCAAAATGGATATTTTCTCCAAAATTGGAATTAATTTTCATGATAAGAACATATAGGAAAAATCCATATATGTAAAATCCTCCAATTCTCACTTGGCAGGATGGAACAATTGCAGTTTCTATGGAATTATTGCCATGGATTTTCCAGCTCCATCATTTCAAACCAGTCACTGTTCTCCATCCCAGTATGTCCAGTACCCCCCGTTCCCCATCCCAGTCCCCCTGCCCCCCCATTCCAGTCCCCCCATCCCAGTCCCCCTGTTCCCCCATCCCAGTCTCCCCAATACCCCTGTCCCCCATCCCAGTCCCCCCGTTCCTCATCCCAGTCGCCCCAGTCTCCCTGTCCCCCATCCCAGTCCCTCCTTTCCCCATCCCAGTACGTCCAGTACCCCCGTCCCCCATCCCAGTCCCCCTGTTCCCCCATCCCAGTACCCCCAGTACCCAATCCCCTCATCCCAGTACCCAATCCCCCCATCCCAGTCCCCCTACTCATCAATCCCAGTATCCCCAATACCCCTGTTCCCCCATCCCAGTCCCCTCGTCCCCCCATTCCAGTACCCCTAGTACCCAATCCCCCCATCCCAGTTCTGCTGTTCCCCCATCCCAGTCCCCCCAGTACCCTGTTTCCCCATCCCAGTACCCCATTTCCCCATCCCAGTCCCCCCAGTCCCCCCATTCCCATCCCAGTCCTCACGTTTCACATCCCAGTCCCCCCGTTCCCCATCCCAGTCCCCCCAGTCCCCCCGTTCCCTATCCCAGTACCCCCCGTTCCCCATCCCAGTCCCCCCGTTCCCTATCCCAGTCCCCTCGTTCCCCATCCCAGTACCCCCAGTCCCCCCGTTCCCTATCCCAGTCCCCTCGTTCCCCATCCCAGTCCCCCCGTTTCCCCATCCCAGTCCCCCCGTTCCCTATCCCAGTCCCCAGTCCCCCCCCTCCCAGTCCTCCCGTTCCCCATCCCAGTCCCCCCAGTCCCCCCCGGTCCCTATCCCAGTACCCCGTTCCCCCATCCCAGTCCCCCCGTTTCCCCATCCCAGTGCCCCCAGTCCCCCCGTTCCCCCATCCCAGTCCCCCCGTTCCCCATCCCAGTCCCCCCGTTTCCCATCCCAGTCCCCCCGTTTCCCATCCCAGTGCCCCCACTGCGGCCCGTCCCCGCACTACAACTCCCGGCGTGCTCCGCGGCGGGCCCGGCCAGCCCCGGCAGGCCCCGGCTCGGGACGAGGCCGCAGCGGCGGCTCTGCGGGGCCGGGCCATGGAGAGCCCCGGCGGCAGCGGCTCCTTGCGGGGCGACATCGGTGCGTGGGCACCGGGCCGGGCTGGGCACACCTCGGGGAGCGCCTGGGAGCGGGGCCGCGCCGGGAGCTGCGCGGAGCGGCGGGGTCGGGGGGTTGCGGGATGGGGCTTTGGGGCTCGCAGGGTGGGTTTGGTGGTTAAAGTGGGATTTGGGGCGCTAAAGAGTGCTCTGCGGCTTTGAGGATGGGGTTTGGGGATTGCAGGACGGGTTTGGGGGCTGCAGGACGGTTGTGGGGTTTAGGGTGCGATTTTGGGTGTTAAAGAGGGGTTTGGGGGTTACAGGATGGGTTCTGGGGGTTGCAGGGCGGTTTGGGGACCGAGTGGCCTCTCGCAAGGAAAGGGATAAGAGGATGCTCGGGACAGCGTCAGGACACGGCAACGATCCTTGCTCCTCCCTCATTCCCAGGGAACGCTCCTTGTTACACCTCCCTCATTCCCTAAATGTAACATCTCTAAATGTTCCTGTTACATTTAGGGTGTAACAGGAACGATCCCTGTTACACCTCCCTAAATGCCCGTGTGCGGTGTTGGGGGCTGTGGGATCGGGATGTTCCCGCCTTGGAGCCGCGGTGCCCAAATCCCAGCGGCTGCTCCCGGGTCACCCCCGGGCTCGTGTCCCGATTCCCGGGGCAGGGCCACCTCCCCCTGTCCGGCTGCTCCAGCCCCAGGGTCCAACCTTGGGCATTGCAGGGATCAGGGGCAGCCCCAGCTGCTCTGGGAATCCCTTCCCAAAATCCCAGCCCAGTCTCCCTCTCCAGGGAATTCCCTCCATTCCCAGCTCTCCCAGCCTGGGATTGGATCCATCCCCACCCCGACTCCTCTCTAGGAAGGGATTTTGGGATCCGGGGGCTTCACTGGGAATCTCAGGACTCCAGGAAGGGTCTCCCTTCCCTTTTCCATCCCCAACTTCCATAAAAATCCCTCGGGATGGATTCTGAGTGTCCCAAATCCCAGAATGGTTTGGGTGGGAAGGGACCTTCAACCCCATCCCATTCCAATCCCAGCATCCCAGGCTGCTCCAGTCCTTCCTTGGGCACTGCCAGGGATGCAGGGGCAGCCCCAGCTGCTCTGGCAATTCCAGCCCAGCCAGGAATTCCTCATTGCCAAGATCCCATCCCTGGCTGCCCTCTGGCACTGGCAGCCATTCCCTGGGTGCTGTCCCTGCAGGCCTTGGCCCCAGCCCCTCTGCAGCTCTCCATCCTCATCTGGATTTGCTCCTCCTGACATAAAAACCACCAGGAGCTCCGGGCAAGGAAAAACCACCCAGGGATACTGGCAAAGGAATGAGGATCTCCGAAACCAAGGGGGAAAATCCCTGTGAAAATGTTGGGATCAGAATTCCTTTATTCCTTTTTTTTTGTTTTGTTTTTAATGGATAGGCTGCATCATTAACACTTGGAGCTGTTTTTACTCGGGGCCACCTCCAAAGCAAAGCCCACCTAGAGGAGGTGACACTGTCCCCTCAGGGTGGCACCAGAATTGCCCCGTGCTGGGCGCTGACAAAAGCTCTTGGAGGTGGGAACTGCTTTTTGCAAGCCCCACAGACTTTGGGATGGGATTTCTGAGGTGGGCTGAGTTTTTCTGGGCTGAGTTTTCCCTTGATCCCAGCTCTTCTTCCATGCTCCTCCAGGAATCCAGAGTTTGGGAAGGGATTTTTGAGCTGGGCTGAGTTTTTCCTTGATCCCAGCTCTTTCTCCTTCCAGCCAGCCCATGTTCCTCCAGGAATCCAGAGGGATTTTTTGGTTGCACTGAGTTTTTCCTTGATCCCAGCTCTTTTTCCGTGTTCCTACAGGAATCCAGAGTTTGGGAAGGGCTTTCTGAGCTGGGCTGAGTTTTTCCTTGATCCCAGATCTTTTTCCCTGCTCCTCCAGGAATCCAGATCTCCATGGATATTTTCTCCCAAATTGGTATTCTCAGGAGAAAAACATACATGAAAAATCCATATATGAAAAATCCTCCAATTCTCCCTTGGCAGGATGGAACAATTGCAGTTTTAATGGAATTATTGCCATGGATTTTCCAGTTCCATCATTTCACACCAGAATGGATTTAGGAAATTTCATCCTCCTGCAGGGGCAAAATTGCTATTTTCTCCCAAATAGGTATTTTCTCCCAGATTGATATATTCTCCCAAATGAATATTTTCTCCCAAATTGCTATTTTCTCCCACATTGGTATTTTCTCCAAAATTGCTATTTTCTCCCAAATGGATATTTTGTCCCAAATTCATAATATTCTCCCAAATGGGTATATTCTCCCAATTTGGTATTTTTTTCTGAACTGGTATTTTCTCCCAAATGGGTATTTTCTCCCAAACTGATATTTTCTCCCAAATGGGTATTTTTTCCCAGACTGTTAATTTCCAGCAGAAAAACATGGATTTTTCCATCCCCGCAGAGACCAGGGCCGGGGTGGATTTTGATGTTACAAACTGAAGTCATTGCATGCAGAACAGAAATGATCAAAAATAGAATTTTAAAGATTCCCTCCCCCCCCCCCAAAAAAAAAAGAAATTCCCTAAAAACTCTTGTTGGGGAAGATGAAACAGGAAAGCCTTATAAATACGATTGTCTGGCAAAAGGTTTTGAGAAGGTAGAAACTATAAGTGAGACTGAAGTGAAAGCAAGCTTTGAGATCCCTCAGTTACTGAACAACTGGAAAACAATGGCATGGCTGGCTGAAGGTGATCCCCTTTTGATGGAACAACTCCCTCTGCTTGCAGGCAGGCCCAAGGGGCAGAGCAGACCCTACAGCTTGGCAGAAGGGGCCCAAAGAGGAGTTTGTAGGGTTTAAAATGTAGCACAGGATGGTAATGTAATGATTCTTATAGGCTGTATGGAAATGCTATGGGATTTGTGTATTGTGAGATTGGTCAGTGAGAATCAGAATATTCAACACAGAAGAAGATTTATGGTATTGGAACGGGAACCTCGCTCTCTTACCCTTTTACTCTCTTACCCTTTTACTCTCTTACCTTTTTTATTCCCTTACTCTCTCACCCTCTCATCCTCTCTCCCCCTCTCTTCTCTCGGGCCTGCTCTGAGCTGTGGCTGCAGCTCCAGCAGGGCCCTGCACCCAGGCCCTGTGCAATAAACCCCAAATCCCAAAAGGCCCCTGCACCCAGGCCCTGTGCAATAAACCCCAAATCCCAAAAGGCCCCTGCACCCAGGCCCTTTGCAATAAACGCCAAATCCCAAGCCCTGGCCTCAGAGATCTCCCTTGTGCTGGTGTGCACAGGGGTCCAAGGATGAGGGAAGAGATGAGGATCTGACTCCATGTTTCAGAAGGCTGATTTATTATTTTATGGTATATATTATATTAAAACTATACTAAAAGAATAGAAGAAAGGATTTCATCAGAAGGAAAAAGAATGGAATGATAACAAAATCCTGTGACTGACCAGCGAGTCTGAAACAGCCGGACCGTGATTGGCCATTAATTAGAAACAACCCCATGAGCCCAATCCCAGACGCACCCGTTGCATTCCACACCAGCAGATAACCATTGGTTACATTTTGTTCCTGAGGCCCCTCAGCTTCTCAGGAGAAAAAAAAATCCTAAGGAGAGGATTTTTCATGAAAATGAAAAACGTCTGCGACGCTCTCGCTGTCCGTCTGTCCTGACGTTCCTCCCTCCCTCCCTCCGTTCCCCAGGTTTCTGGGCGGACCGCACGCCGGTGCACGAGGCCGCGCGCCGCGGGGAGATCGGGCGGCTGCAGCAGCTGATCGAGAGCGGGGCCTGCGTCAACGCCGTCACCTACGACTCCATCACGCCGCTGCACGAGGCCAGCCTGCGGGGCCAGGCCCAGTGCGTCAAACTGCTGCTGGACGCGGGGGCCCAGGTGCGACCCGCGCCCTTCCCGCTGGGAACGCGCCCCAGGGAGCTGGGGAGGGCCCGGGGAGGCTGAGGGAGCTGGGGAGGGTCTGGGGAGGCTGAGGGAGCTGGGGAGGGGCTGAGGGAGCTGGGGAGGGTCCGGGGAGGCTGAGGGAGCTGGGAAGGGTCTGGAGAACCAGGAGGGGCTGAGGGAGCTGGGAAGGGTCTGGAGAGAACCAGGAGGGGCTGAGGGAGCTGGGAAGGGTCTGGAGAACCAGGAGGGGCTGAGGGAGCTGGGAAGGGTCTGGAGAGCCAGGAGGGGCTGAGGGAGCTGGGAAGGGTCTGGAGAACCAGGAGGGGCTGAGGGAGCTGGGAAGGGTCTGGAGAACCAGGAGGGGCTGAGGGAGCTGGGAAGGGTCTGGAGAGAACCAGGAGGGGCTGAGGGAGCTGGGAAGGGTCTGGAGAACCAGGAGGGGCTGAGGGAGCTGGGAAGGGTCTGGAGAGCCAGGAGGGGCTGAGGGAGCTGGGAAGGGTCTGGAGAACCAGGAGGGGCTGAGGGAGCTGGGAAGGGTCTGGAGAGAACCAGGAGGGGCTGAGGGAGCTGGGCAGGGGCTGAGCCTGGAGCAAAGGAGGCTCAGGGGGCCCTTGTGGCTCTGCACAAGTCCCTGCCAGGAGGGGACAGCCCTGCTTTTAACTTGTTTTTCCCTGTTTTTCCTGCTTTTAACTTGCTTTCCCCTCCTTTTAATGCACTTTTAACCTGCTTTACTGCTTTTCCCTGCCTTTAAACTGCTTTTAACTTGCTTTCCCCTGCTTTTCCCCTGCTTTCCCCTACTTCTAATCTGCTTTTCCCTGCTTTTAACCTGCTTTTCCCTACTTTTAACCTTTTCCCCCACTTTTCCCCTGCTTTTAACCTGTTTTTAACCTGTTTTTCACTGCTTTTTCCCTCCTTTTAACCTGCTTTTAACCTGCTTTCCCCCTACTTTTAACCTGTTTTTCCCTGCTTTCATTAATTTTAACCTCCTTTTCCCTGATTTTAACCTGCTTTTCCTTACTTTTAACCTCCTTTTCCCTGTTTTTTCCTGGTTTTAACTTGCTTTTTCCTTCTTTTAACTTGCCTTTCCCTGCTTTTAACCTCCTTTTAACCTGCTTTTCCCTTACTTTTCCCTACTTTAAACTTGCTTTTAACTGCCTTTTCCCTACTTTAAACCTACTTTTCCCTCCTTTTCCCTGCTTTTCCCCCACTTTTCCCTACTTTTAACCTGTTTTACCTGCTTTCCCCCTCCCTACTTTTCCCTACTTTCAACCTGTCTTAACCTGCTTTTCCCCTACTTTTCCCCACTTTTAACCTGCTTTTCCCCCACTTTTCCCTACTTTTCTCTGCTTTTCCCCCACTTTTCCCTACTTTTATCCTGCTTTTCCCCTACTTTCCCCTACTTTTATCTGTTTCCCCCTACTTTTCCCTGCTTTTCCCTTACTTTTCCCTACTTTCCACCTGTATTAACCTGCTTTTCCCCGTACTTTTCCCCTACTTTTCCCTGCTTTTCCCCCACTTTTCCCTACTTTAAACCTGCTTTTAAACCTACTTTTCCCTACTTTAAACCTGCTTTTAACCCTACTTTTCCCTACTTTTAACCTGCTTTTCCCCTACTTTTCCCTACTTTAAACCTGCTTTTAACCTGCTTTTCCCTGCTTTTTCCCCTGCTTTTCCTACTTTTCCCTACTTTTAACCTACTTTTCCCTGCTTTCCCCCACTTTTCCCTACTTTCAACCTGTCTTAACCTGCTTTTCCCTGATTTTCCCCTACTTTTTCCCTGATTTTCCCCTACTTTTAACCTGTTTTAACCTTCTTTTCCCCCACTTTCCCCTACTTTTCCCTGCTTTTCCCTGCTTTTCCCCCACTCTTCCCTACTTTTAACCTTCTTTCCCCCCACTTTTCCCTACTTTCCCCCTGCTTTCCCCCTGCTTTTCCCCTACTTTTCCCCTGCTTTTCCCCTACTTTTCCCCTACTTTTCCCCCACTTTTCCCCCACTTTTCCCCCACTTTTCCCCCACTTTTCCCTCTTTCCCCGCTGCATTCCCCGTTCCCGGTGTGTCCCCGCGTGTGGGGCAGGTGGACGCGCGGAACATCGATGGCAGCACGCCGCTGTGCGACGCCTGCGCCTCGGGCAGCATCGAGTGCGTGCGGGTGCTGCTGTCGCACGGCGCCAAGGTCAACCCGCCCCTGTACACGGCCTCGCCCCTGCACGAGGCCTGCATGAACGGTAACGGTAACGCGCTCCGGCAGGGAATACTGGGGAATACCGGGGAATTCCAGGGAAATCCCAGGGGAATTCCAGGGGAATACCAGGGTTATTCCAGAGCAGTTCCTGGGCACTTCCATGGTTATTCCAGAGCACTTCCAGGGCACTTCCAGGGTCATTCCAGGGCAATTCCAGGGTTATTCCAGGGCACTTCCAGGGCACTTCCAGGGCAATTCCAGGGTTATTCCAGAGCAGTTCCAGAGTCGTTCCAGGCACTTCCAGGATTATTCCAGGGCAATTCCAGAGTCGTTCCAGGGCAATTCCAGGGCAGTTCCAGAGTCACTCCACAGCACTTCCAGGGTTATTCCAGGGCAGTTCCAGAGTCATTCCACGGCACTTCCAGGGTTGTTCCAGGGCACTTCCAGGGTTATTCCCGGGCACTTCCAGGGTCATTCCAGAGCAGTTCCCGGGCACTTCCAGGGTCATTCCAGGGCACTTCCAGGGTTATTCCAAGGCACTTCCAGGGTTATTCCAGAGCACTTCCAGGGTACTTCCAGGGCAATTCCAGAGTCGTTCCAGGGCAATTCCAGGGTTATTCCAGGGCAATTCCAGGGTTATTCCAGGGCAATTCCAGGGTCGTTCCAGGGCACTTCCAGGGTCATTCCAGGGCACTTCCAGGGTCATTCCAGAGCACTTCCAGGGCAATTCCAGGGTTATTCCAGAGCAGTTCCATGGCAGTTCCAGGGCACTTCCAGGGCAGTTCCAGGGTTATTCCAGAGCAGTTCCAGAGTCATTCCAGGGCAGTTCCAGGGCACTTCCAGGGTCATTCCAGGGCAATTCCATGGCAGTTCCAGGGCACTTCCAGGGCAGTTCCAGGCCCATCCCAGGGCCATTCCTGGGGGTCATTCCAGGGTTATTCAAGGGCAATCACAGGGTCAATAATTCCAGGGTCATTCTAGGACCATTCCAGGCTCATTCCAAGGGAATTCCTGGGTCATTCCAGGGCAATTCCAAGGTCATTCCAGGGCAACTCCTGGGTCATTCCAAGGTCATTCCAGGGTAATTCCAGGGTCATAACAGTGAAATCCCAGGGTCATTCAAGGGCAATTCCAGGATCATTCCAGGGCAATTTCTGGGTCATTCCAGAGTCATTCCAGGTTCATAACAGTGAAATCCCAGGGTCATTCAAGGGCAATTCTGGGCTCATTCCAGGGGAATTTCGGGGTCATTCCAGAGCAATTCCATGGTCATTCCAGCAGTAATTCCAGGCTCATTCCAGGGCAGTTCCAGGCTCATTCCAGGCTCATTCCAGGCTCATTCCATGGTTGTTTGCAGCCTGGAATGGGATGCAGGCACCGTGTGGCCACACCCTGGCCAGGCTGTGCTGCCCTGTGCAGGTCGGCAGCTGGGAAGGGAGAGGGACCTGCAGGGATCCCAGTCTGATCCCAGTCTGATCCCAGTCTGATCCCATTTTCCCATTTCGGATCCCATTTTTCCCTGCAGAGACCCCTCTGATCCCACTGCTGATCCCGTTTTTCCCAGCAGAGCGGGAATTCCTGTTTTTCACTGGGAATTCCATTCTGCTGTAGTGGGAATTCCTGGTTTTCAGCAGGGATTCCCAGTTTTCAGCTGGAATTCCCAATTTTCATTGGGAATTCCCAGATTTCAGTGGGATTTTCCTGGTTTTCAGTGGGAATTCCCAGTTTTCAGCAGGAATTCCCAGTTTTCAGTGGGATTTCCTGATTTTCACTGGGATTCCCCTGGTTTTCAGCAGGAATTCCCAGTTTTCAGTGGGAATTCCCAGTTTTCATTGGGAATTCCCGTTTTTCACTGGGGATTCCCGTTTTTCCCTGGGATTTCCCGTTTTTCATTGGGAATTCCCGTTTTTCCCTAAGATTTCCCAGTTTTCATTGGGATTTCCCAGTTTTCTGTGGGAATTCCCAGTTTTCCTTGGGAATTCCTGTTTTTCCCTAAGATTTCCCGTTTTCCCCTGGGATTTCCCATTTTCCCCTGGGATTTCCCGTTTTCCCCTGGGATTTCCCGTTTTTCGGTGGGGATTCCCGTTTTTCACCGGCTGTTCCGTGTGTCCCGGTCCCAGGCAGCCCGGAGTGCGTGCAGCTCCTGATCGAGGTGGGGGCCAACCTGGAGGCGCACGACTGCCACTTCGGCACCCCCCTGCACGTGGCCTGCGCCCGCCAGCACCTGGACTGCGCCAAGCTCCTGCTGCAGGCAGGTGCGGCCCCGGGATGGACCTGGGATGGACCCGGGATGGACCTGGGATGGGCCCGGGAACGGCCCCGTGGTGGGATGGATCCGGGAATGGCCCCGAGCGGGATGGGCCCGGGAACGGCCCCGAGCGGGATGGACCCGGGAACGGCCCCGAGCGGGATGGGCCTGGGAATGGCCCCAGCAACACGGGATGGGCCCGGGAATGGCCCCGAGCGGGATGGACCCGGGAATGGCCCCGAGCGGGATGGGCCCGGGAACGGCCCCGAGCGGGATGGACCCGGGAACGGCCCCGAGCGGGATGGGCCCGGGAATGGCCCTGAGCGGGATGGGCCCGGGAATGGCCCTGAGCGGGATGGGCCAGGGAACGGCCCCGAGCGGGATGGGCCAGGGAATGGCCCCGAGCGGGATGGGCCCGGGAATGGCCCCGAGCGGGATGGGCCAGGGAATGGCCCCGAGCGGGATGGGCCCGGGAATGGCCCCGAGCGGGATGGACCCGGGAACGGCCCCGAGCGGGATGGACCCGGGAACGGCCCCGAGCGGCTGCTGCGCGCAGCCAAGGGCTGGTGCCACTGCTGACCCCATTCCTGACCCCGTTCCTGATCCCACTGCTGATCCCACTGCTGATCCCGTTCCTGATCCCACTGCTGACCCCACTGCTGACTCCATTCCTGACCCCGTTCCTGATCCCACTGCTGACCCCGTTCCTGACCCCACTGCTGACCCCATTCCTGACCCCATTGCTGACCCCACTGCTGATCCTGTTCCTGATCCCATTGCTGATCCCATCCCTGATCCCACTGCTGATCCCGTTCCTGATCCCATTGCTTATCCCATCCCTGATCCCATTGCTGATCCCGTTCCTGATCCCATTGCTGATCCCATTGCTGATCCTGTTCCTGATCCCGTTCTTCCCTGCACGTGCCCCTCTGGTGCCATTGCTGATCCCATTGCTGATCCCACTGCTGATCCCGTTCCTGATCCCATTCCTGATCCCATTCCTGATCCTGTTCTTCCCTGCACACACCCCTCTGGTCCCATTCCTGTTCCCATTCCTGATCCCATTCCTGATCCCGTTCTTCCCTGCACACACCCCTCTGGTCCCATTCCTGTTCCCATTCCTGATCCCATTCCTGGTCCCATTCCTAATCACATTCCTGGTCCCATTCCTGATCCCATTCTTCCCTGCACAGAACCCTCTGGTCCCATTCCTGTTCCCATTCCTGATCCTGTTTGTCCCTGCACACGGCCCTCTGATCCCATTTCTGGTCCCATTCCTGATCCTGTTCCTGGTCCCATTGCTGATCCCATTCCTGATGCCAGTCCTGATCCCATTCCTGTTCCCATTCCTGATCCCATTCCTGATCCCATTGCTGATCCTGTTTGTCCCTGCACACACCCCTCTGATCCCATTTCTGGTCCCATTCCTGATCCTGTTCCTGGTCCCATTGCTGATCCCATTCCTGATGCCAGTCCTGATCCCATTCCTGATCCTGTTTTTCCCTGCACACACCCCTCTGATCCCATTCCTGTTCCCATTGCTGATCCCTTTTCTCTGCATAAATTTCCTTTTCCCCAGATAAATTCCCTTTTCCCTGGCCAGATCCCCTTTTCTCAGCCTGGATCCCCTCTTCCCTGGCTAAATCCCCTCTTCCCTGGCTAAATCCCCTTTTCCCTGGCTAAATCCCCTCTTCCCTGGCTAAATCCCCTTTTCCCTGGATAAATTTCCTTTTCCTGCCTGGATTTCCATTTTCCTGCCTGGATTTCCATTTCCCTGGTCAAATTCCCTTTTCCCTGGCCAGATCCCCTTTTCCCTGCCTGAATCCTCTTGTCTCTGGCTAAATTCCTTTTTCCCCAGATAAATTCCCTTTTCCTGCCCGGGTTTCCTTTTTCCTAGCTAAATTTCCTGTTCCCTGAATAAATTCCCAATTCCCTGGATAAATTTCCATTTCCCTGGCCAAATCCCCTTTTCCTTGGATAAATTTCTTTTTCCCTGGCCATATTCCCTTTTCCCTGGATAAAAATTCCCTTTTCCTGCCTGGATTCCTATTTCCCTGGATAAATTCCCTTTTTCCCTGTCTGGATCCCCTTTTTCCTGCCCAGATTCCCTTTTCCCTGGGTAAATTCCCTTTTCCCACCTGTCTTTCCTTTCCCTGGCTGGATTTATTCCCTTTTCCCTGGATAAATTCACTTTTCCCTCTCTAATCACCCTTTTCCCACCTGCCTTTCCTTTCCCTGCTGGATTCATCCCTTTTCCCACCTGTCCTTCCTTTCCCTGGCTGGATTTATTCCCTTTTCCCTGGATTAATTCACTTTTCCTTGACTAAATCCCCTTTTGCCTGGATAAATTCCCTTTCCCTGCCCGGATCCCCTTTTCCCTGGCCAAATCCCCTTTTCCCGCCTGCCTTTCCTTTCCTTGCTGGATTTACCCCTTTTCCCCCCTGCCTTTCCTTTCCCTGGCTGCATTCACCCCTTTCCCCCCTGCCTTTCCTTTCCCTGCTGGATTTACCCCTTTTCCCACCTGGATTTCCTTTCCCTGGCTGCATTTATCCCCTTTTCCCTGGATAAATTCCCTTTCCCCAGGCCAAATCCCCTTTTCCCGCCTGCCTTTCCTTTCCCTGCTGCATTTACTCCTTTTCCTACCCGGATTTCCTTTCCCTGCTGGATTCATCCCCTTTCCCCCCTGCCTTTTCTTTCCCTGCTGGATTCATCCCTTTTCCCTGGATAAATCCCCTTTCCCCAGGCTAAATCCCCTTTTCCCTGCCTGCCTTTCCTTTCCCTGCTGCATTCACCCCTTTCCCACCCGGATTTCCTCTCCCTGCTGGATTTATACCCCTTTTCCCACCCGGATTTCCTTTCCCTTCTGCATTTATCCCTTTTCCCACCTGCCTTTCCTTCCTTTCCCTGGCTGGATTTATTCCCTTTTCCCTGGATTAATTCACTTTTCCTTGACTAAATCCCCTTTTGCCTGGATAAATTCCCTTTCTCTGCCCAGATCCCCTTTTCCCACCTGCCTTTCCTTTCCCTGCTGGATTTATTCCCTTTTCCCTGGCCAAATCCCCTTTCCCCAGGCTAAATCCCCTTTTCCCACCTCGCTTTCCTTTCCCTGGCTGCATTTATCCCTTTTCCCCCCGCCTTTCCTTTCCCTGGCTGGATTTATTCCTTTTCCCTGGCCAAATCCCCTTTCCCCAGGCAAAATCCCCTTTTCCCACCTGCCTTTCCTTTCCCTGCTGGATTTATCCCCTTTTCCCTGGATAAATTCCCTTTTCCCTCTCTAATCACCCCTTTCCCCCCTGCCTTTCCTCTCCCTGCTGGATTCATCCCTTTTCCCTGGATAAATTCCCTTTTCCCTGGCCAAATCCCCTTTCCCGCCTGCCTTTCCTTTCCCTGCTGCATTCACCCCTTTCCCACCCAGATTTCCTCTCCCTGCTGGATTTATACCCCCTTTCCCACCCGGATTTCCTTTCCCTGCTGGATTCATCCCTTTTCCCACCCGGATTTCCCTTCCCTGCTGGATTCATGCCCATTTTCCCACCCGGATTTCCCTTCCCTGCTGGATTCATCCCTTTTCCCACCCGGATTTCCCTTCCCTGCTGGATTCATGCCCATTTTCCCACCCGGATTTCCCTTCCCTGCTGGATTCATGCCCCATTTTCCCCCCTGGATTTCCCTTCCCTGCTGGATTCATGCCCATTTTCCCACCCGGATTTCCCTTCCCTGCTGCATTCATGCCCATTTTCCCACCCGGATTTCCCTTCCCTGCTGGATTCATGCCCATTTCCCCACCCGGATTTCCTCTCCCTGCTGGATTCATGCCCATTTTCCCCCCTGGATTTCCCTTCCCTGCTGGATTCACCCCTTTTCCCACCCAGATTTCCCTTCCCTGCTGGATTCATGCCCATTTTCCCCCGTGTTCCCCAGGTGCCAACGTGAACGCGGCCAAGCTGCACGAGACGGCGCTGCACCACGCGGCCAAGGTCAGGAACGTGGACCTGGTGCAGCTGCTGGTGGAGTTTGGGGGCAACATCTACGCCCGGGACAACCGGGGCAAGAAACCCTCGGACTACACCTGGAGCAGCAGCCCCACGGCCAAGTGCTTCGAGTTCTACGAGAGTGAGCGGGGACACACACGGGAACTGGGAACTGGGAATGAAACCCCTTTATTGGGAACTGGGAATCAAACCCCCTTTATTGGGAATTGGGAATCAAACCCCTTTATTGGGAAATCAAATCCCCCTTTATTGGGAAATCAAATCCCCCTTTATTGGGAAATCAAATCCCCCTTTATTGGGAACTGGGAATGAAACCCCCTTTATTGGGAATTGGGAATCAAACCCCTTTATTGGGAACTGGGAATCAAACCCCTTTACTGGGAAATCAAATCCCCTTTATTGGGAACTGGGAATCAAACTCCTTTATTGGGAACTGGGAATCAAACTCCTTTATTGGGAACTGGGCCATCAAACCCCTTTATTGGGAACTGGGAATGAAACTCCTTTATTGGGAACTGGGAATGAAACCCCTTTATTGGGAATTGGGAATGAAACCCCCTTTATTGGGAATTGGGACATCAAACCCCCTTTATTGGGAATTGGGAATCAAACCCCCTTTATTGGGAACTGGGAATGAAACCCCCTTTATTGGGAACTGGGAATGAAACCCCCTTTATTGGGAATTGGGAATCAAACCCCCTTTATTGGGAAATCAAACCCCCCTGTTATTGGGAATTGGGCCATCTAATCCCCCTTTTATTGGGAATTGGGGCATCAAATCCCCTTTATTGGGAATTGGGGCATCAAACCCCCTTTATTGGGAATTGGGAATCAAATCCCCTTTTATTGGGAATTCAGCCATCAAATCCCTTTTCTGATCCCATTTTTATCCTGTTTCTGATCCCATTTTTATCCCATTTCTGATCCCATTTATCACATTTCTGATCCCATTTTCCCGTTTCTGATCCCATACTCCCCTTTCTGATCCCATTTTTATCCCATTCCTGATGCCATGTTTCCATTTCCAATCCCATGTTCCCATTTCTGATGCCACATTCCCATTTCTAACCCCATTTCCGATCCCCCTATTCCCATTTCCGACCCCACATTCCCGTTTCCAATCCCACATTCCCATTTCTGACCCCACATTCCCATTTCTGACCCCACATTCCCATTTCTAATCCCATTTCCAATCCCCTATTATCCTGTTTCTCACCCCACATTCCCGTTTTCAATCCCACATTCCCATTTCTGACCCCACATTCCCATTTCTGACCCCACATTCCCATTTCTGACCCCCTATTCCTGTTTCCAATCCCACATTCCCATTTCCAATCCCATTTTTATCCCATTTCCAATCCGCTATTCCCATTTCTGACCCCACATTCCCATTTCCAATCCCGTTTATATCCCATTTCCAATCCCCTATTCCCGTTTCCAATCCCCCATTTTTATCCCGTTTCTGACCCCATTTCCAATCCCCCATTTTCCTGTTTCTGACCCCATTTTTATCCCATATCTGACCCCACATTCCCGTTTCTGACCCCGTTTCCAATCCCCTATTCCCGTTTCTGACCCCCTATTCCCATTTCTGTCCTGTTTCTGACCCATTTCTCTCCCGTTTCTGACCCCATTTTTATCCCATTTCCAATCCCCCATTTTTATCCCGTTTCTGACCCCATTGTCCCTGTTTCTGATCCCCCATTTTCCCGTTCCTGACCCATTTCTCTCCCGTTTCTCTCCCGTTTCTGACCCATTTTTATCCCGTTCCTGTCCCGTTTCTCTCCCGTTCCTGACCCGTTTCTCTCCCATTCCCAATCCCCCGTTTCTCTCCCATTCCCAATCCCCCGTTTCTCTCCCGTTCCTGACCCGTTTCTGACCCGTTCCTGTCCCATTCCTGACCCGTTCCTGTCCTGTTCCTGTCCCGTTCCTGTCCCGTTCCTGACCCGTTCCTGTCCCGTTTCTCTCCCGTTCCTGACCCATTCCTGTCCCGTTCCTGTCCCGTTCCTGTCCCGTTTCTCTCCCGTTCCTGTCCCGTTCCTGTCCCGTTCCTGACCCGTTCCTGACCCGTTCCTGTCCCGTTTCTGACCCGTTTTCCCCCCCGTGTCTGTGTTTCCCCGCAGGGACGCCGCTGAGCCTGGCGCAGCTGTGCCGGCTCTCGGTGCGCAGGGCCGCGGGCCGCCGGGGCCTGCAGGGCATCGGCCGCCTCCAGATCCCGCCCCGCCTCATCCGCTACCTCTGCTACAACTGACACCGCCGGGGGAGACCGGGGGGAAACACCGGGAAACAGCCGGGAAACAACCGGGAAACAACCGGGAAAAACACCGGGAAACAACCGGGAAACAACCGGGAAAAACCCCGGCCTCGGGGGCTCCTCCTGCTCCTCTACCTCCCCACCCCAACATCCCCGTTTCCATGGAATTCCAGGCGCTGCTGTAAACGGGATTTGTCGGGAGCTCCTCCTTTCCCTGGGCTTTCCTTGGAACTGCCCGGGTGGAATTTGTGGAATTTTAGCCTCTCCCAGCTGGCATTCCCTGATTTCCCTGGATTTCCTCCGTGGGGTCCAGTCAGGGGGGAGAGAAATGGGATAATTGGAGTGGGAACCATTCCAGCCGGGAATGCCGTGCTCTGGAGCAGCTCTAATCCCACTTTGATCCCAATTTTCCCTGCACAGACCCCTCTGATCCCATTTCCGATCCCAATTTTCCCATTTCTGATCCAAATTTTCCCATTTCTGATCCCATTTTTCCCTGCAGGGACCCCTCTGATCCCATTTCTGATCCCAACTTTCCCATTTTTGATCCCATTTCTGATCCCATTTTTCCCTTCAGGGACCCCTCTGATCCCATTTCTGATCCCATTTTTGATCCCATTTCTGATCCCGTTTTTCCCTGCACAGACCCCTCTGATCCCATTTCCAATCCCATTTTTCCCATTTCTGATCCCATTTTTCCCTGCAGGGACCCCTCTGATCCCATTTCTGATCCCATTTTTCCCGTTTTTCCCACTTTGATCCCGTTTTTCCCCGCAGGGATCATCCATCCCCTTTTGGGTGATCCAGCCTGGAATGACCCAGGCTCCCTTTCCCTGCTGGCTGCAGGGGGGCTGGGAGGGGAAATCCTTGGATTTCCAAATCCTTGGATGTGGATGGGATCCCACCCTTGGGAATAACTCCAGTGCCAGCTGCGAGCTCTGCTGGGGGCAAATGAATTCCCTGCTCATTCCCTCGCTCATTCCCTAAAGGAATTCCCCAAATTAACAATTCCCTGGATGAATTCCCCAAAGGAACCAGGCCAGGCTAACTGGGGGCTCAGCACCTCGTTCATTTAGGGAATGTTCAGGGTTTTCCAGGAGCATCCAGAGGCTTTGGATCAACAGCAGGAATGAGGAGAGGCCAGGCTGGGATTGGCTGTGTCCCAGTCCCAATCCCATTCCCAGTCCATTTCCATTCCCAGTCCCAGTCCCATTCCCATTCCCAGTCCAATCCCATTCCCATCCCATTCCCAATCCCATTCTCAATCCCATTCCCAGTCCAATCCCATTCCCAGTCCCATTCCCATCCCAATCCCTTTCCCAATCCCTTTCCCAATCCCATCTCAATCCCATTCCCAATCCCATCTCCAGTCCCATTCCCAATCCCATTCCAATCCCATTCCCATTCCCAGCCCCATTCCCACTCCCATTCCCAATCCCATCTCCAGTCCCAATCCCAATCCCATTCCCAGTCCCATTCCCAACCCCTTTCCCACATCCCAGGACATTCCCTGATCCCAGATTTGGTTTCCCCCTCCCTGGGATCCCCTGGGATACATCAGGACTGGGTTCTGCCTGGAAGTTTGGGAATTTTGGGATTGATTTCCCCCCTTTGGAGCTCTTTTCCCAGTGCCAGGTTGGGGTTGGGATTCCAGGGATTGGGGTTGGGATTCCAGGCCTGAATCCCAGCTGGAATTCCTGGAATTCCTGGGGCTTTGTCCTTGCATGTCTGAGCTGGGAATCTCCTTCCCCTTCCAGTTTTCCCTGCTTTTCCCCAAAATCCTGGAAAATCCCAGAGTTTCCCTCCAAGAACAAATCCCTGCCAAACTCCTGGAATCCACCAGGATCCAGGCTGGGAATGCCGAATGCACTTTATGGGGCCTGGGTTTAATTCTCATTTTATTTATGCATTTATTTATTTATTCCTCCCCTCCCTTTTCATCCTGGAAATCCCAAACCCTGCTGCTGCTCCCATCCCGAGTTTGGGGCTGGGATTCCCAGAAATGGGAAACTGTGGAAACTCAGGGAAGCCCCAGAGGGGATTTTTGTGGGATTCATCCCTGGGAATGGCAGGAAAAGGTTTTGTGGGACAGTTTAGGGATCCCAAATCCATTTTGAGGGTCCCAAATCCCTTTTTAGGGTTCCCAATTCGCCTTTTGAGGATCCCAAATCCCTTTTCAGGATCCCAAATCCCCTTTCAAGGATCCAAATCCCATTTTAGGGTTCCCGAATCCCTTTTTAGGTGATTTTCCAACCCTGCCCACACCGGTACAGCAATGGAATTCCCAAATCCAAGTTTCCCTTGGAAAAGCAAAAAGATTCCTTGGAGAACCAACAAGAAATTCCCCCAATCCCGTGGATTCCATCTTCGTTTTCCCTGATTTTGGAGCCTTTCTGGGGGATCCCAGAATTTGGGGGTTTTTATTTCAGATCCATTGGAGGAATTCCTGCTGCTGGGATTTAGGAGAGTTTCAGGAATTCCAGCTTGGAAAACTGGGAATGACATTTGGGCTGTGGCCACTCCTGATCCATGAATTGCTGGGAATAATCCCATTAATCCCATTATGTATCCCATTAATCCCATTTTCCCCATTAATCCCATTAATTAAATTTATCCCATTTATCCCATATATTCAATTTATTCCATTTATCCCATTAATTAAATTTTTCTCATTTATCCCATTAATCCCATTAATCCCATTTATTCCAATTCCAAGCCAATCCCAGTTTCTTTGATCCCAGCTGGAATTTTTGGGGGATCTTCCCTGGTTTTTAGGAGCACCTGGATCTCCTCTGGATCTCCTCTGGATCAAGGTTTGGGATGAAAACCTCGGAAAATCCAAGGATCCAAAACCCTCTTGGATCTCAGGGCCTGGGGGTCTTTCCTGGGGATTTGTGGGATTTGTGGGATTTGGGATTTCTGGGAATGCCAGAAGCAGCTGAATCCCTGGAATAATGGGAATAAACTCCTGGATTGGGCCTCGTGGATTTTTGGGTCACTTTGGGACAATCCCTTCACCCTTGGTTCCCAAATCCCACCAGGCCATTCCTGCTTGATCCTCCCCTTCCCAGGCTTCCCAAATTCCAAACCCAGCTGAAAAATCTGGGATGATTCCTCTTCCCTGGGGGTTTCCTGTGGATCCCTGCACAGGGCAGGGAACGATCCAGAAGAATCCCTCCCAATTCCAGCTGGGAGCGGGGATTTGCCTCCATCCGTGGGAATCTCTGGGATTTCTCCTGGCTGGAATCTGGGCTGGAGAATGGGAGCTGGATCCTGGCAGCTTTTCCCAAAAATGAGGTTTATCCTGGGAAAACAGGCTGGAATTCCTTGGGAAGCCAGAAAATTTCACTCCTGGATCCCCTGGCTGAGGGAAATCCCTGGAAAATCTGGGAAAGGGACAACTCCCAGGAAAACCAGGATTGGGATTCCTGATTTTACCTTCAGGGCTCTTGGAGCGAGGGGAAAAAAATTCCCAGGAGTTTTCCTGAGCTTTGCATCCCTCGGATCCTCTGGAATGGGGCAGGAGCAAAGCTGGAATTCTGCCCCACCTCTGGATTTTGGGAATAAATCCACCCAAACACCCAAATCTGGAGGATTTTCCCTGAGGTTTTCCATACCCTCCCTTTCCCAGGAAAATCCAGGGTGATCCTGCAGAGCTTTTTGGTGCCCATCCCAAATTTTTGGGTGGATTTGGGGAATGTGGAGAAAACCCCTGGAGCACCAGGTAGTGGTTTTAACCCCAAAATCGACATTTTGGGATTGCACAGCAAAGCCCCGGGGGGATCAAACCCCACGGATTCCTTGGGATTTATGGAAAATGGGATGAACCCTTTGGCTGTTCCCAGGGGGGATCAAACCCCACGGATTCCTTGGGATTTATGGAAAATGGGATGAACCCTTTGGCTGTTCCCTCCTCTCCTCCACGTCACAAAATCCTCGCATCCTGAAAAACCCCAAACCCCCTCACTTTGAGATGGATCCTGAGCTTTTGGTGGTGCCCTGAAACTGAGATCCTGGATTTTCCCTGGATTCGGGAACTCGGGCAGTGCTGGAAAGGGGAGGAGCTCCTCAGAGCTGGGGATTTGGGCACCTGGAATTTATTCCTGATCAAAGGGAACCAGGGAAGGGTTGAGGTTATTCCCGAATAAAATTCACTCTGGAAAATCTCACCCGTGTCCGGCTGTTGTGGGATCTGCCCTGGAATTCTCTTCCTTCAGCAGCCTCATCCCAAATTCCAGGGCTGGGAGAGCTGGGAATGTTCCCCTGGAGAGGAGAAGGCTCCAGGGAGAGCTTCCAGCACATTGCAGGCCTGCAGGGGCTCCAGGAGAGCTGCAGAGGGGCTGGGGCCAAGGCCTGCAGGGACAGCAGCCAGGGAATGGCTCCCAGTGCCAGAGGGCAGCCAGGGATGGGATCTTGGCAATGAGGAATTCCTGGCTGGGCTGGGATTGCCAGAGCAGCTGGGGCTGCCCCTGCATCCCTGCAATGCCCAAGGAAGGATTGGAGCACCCTGGGATGGTGGGATTGCAATGGGATGGGATTGAAGGTCCCTTCCCACCCAAACTGCTCTGGGATTCTGGGATTTGGGACACTCAGAATCCATCCCGAGGGATTTTTATGGAAGGTGGGGATGGAAAAGGGAAGGGAGACCCTTCCTGGAGTCCTGAGATTCCCAGTGAAGGCCCCGGATCCCAAAATCCCTTCCTAGAGAGGAGTCGGGGTGGGGATGGATCCAATCCCAGGCTGGGGGAGCTGGGAATGGAGGGAATTCCCTGGAGAGGGAGACTGGGCTGGGATTTTGGGAAGGGATTCCCAGAGCAGCTGGGGCTGCCCCTGATCCCTGCAATGTCCAAGGCCAGGCTGGAGCAGCCTCCAGGGATCAGGAATTGTCCCTGCCCATGGAATGGGGTTGGAATTGGAGGATCCTGAGGGTCCCTTCCCACCCAACCCATTCCATGATTCCATAAAAAACCCCACAATGTTCATCCCTTTCCCAAAACCTTTCATTCCTCGTTTTCCATGGAAAAACTGGGAAGAAAGGCTGGGACTGGGGAATCTTCCCAGAGAAATCCCGAGCTCTGGAAGGAATCAGGGGCTGGAAAAATCCCAAAGAACCCGGGAGGGAAACGGTGCTGGGAAAAACAGGATAATCCCATTTTTCCCCCTAAGGAATTCTCTCCAGCCAGTCCTTGTCCCGGAGCCGGCTGGGATGGGGAAGAGCCGCCCGTGGCTTTTGGAGGAGGAAATTTTGGGAGGAATTCTGGGTGAAATTCCCACCATTCCCACAGAAACCCCTCTCAGACCCGCAGGGCTGGGACGCGGGAGCCGCTTCCCGGCGCGGCGCCGCTTGGCGGAGCTGCTGCCCCCAGGAAAAGCTCCGGGAATGGGAATTCCCGACCAGCAGCGCCCGCACCGGCCCCGCTCAGCCCCAACCCGGCACCCCCGGCGCGCTCTGCGCCCCTGGACGGGAACCGCGGATCCCAAATCCCCTCGGATCCCAAACCCCCTCGGATCCCAAACCCCCGCGGATCCCAAACGCCCTCGGATCCCAAACCCCCTCGGATCCCAAATCCACTCGGATCCCAAACCCTCTCTGATCCCAAACCCTCTCTGATCCCAAATCCCCTCGGATCCCAAATCCCCTCGGATCCCAAACCCCCTCGGATCCCAAACCCCCGCAGATCCCAAATCCCCTCTGATCCCAAACCCCCTCCGATCCCAAACCCCCTCGGATCCCAAATCCCCTGGGATCCCAAACCCCCTCGGATCCCAAACCCCCTCGGATCCCAGCAACGCCCAATCCCCAAACACCGGCCCCGCTAATCCTGGAGTTGGGAATTCGGGATTTTTTGGTTTTGTTTTTTGGTTTTTGGGGAACAGCAAATCACCTCCAGAGGGTTCGGTTCCCACCTCCAGACTCCAATTCTCCCGGCCCCAAAAAGACTTGGAATTCCCAGATCTGTAATAAAATTCCCTCTGCTCTCGGCTCAGGACAGGCGCGTTTTTAAGGAGAAAAGCAGGAATTTCGGGAAAGACTTGGATAGGGAGGGAGGGGGGAGCACGGGGCAGGCTGTGCCTCCATGGATGGGCTGAAAATCGGGAAAAACAGGGGAAAATTGTTATTCCTTCTTTTCAGCTTTGCTACTTTATTTATTTTATATTATATTTTATTTTATATTTTATATATATGATATATATAATACATATATTTTATATTTTATCTTTTAAATCTTATTTTATCTTTTTAAAAATTTTATTTTATTTTATTGTATTTTTTATTTTATTTTATCTTATTGTATCTTATTTTATTTATTTTATTTTGTATTTTATTTTATTTTATTTTATTCTCCTTCCCAGAGCTGATTTGGGATTAGTTTGGGAATTCCATGTGGGTTTTTAATCGAGGAAAAAGTGGAGCTGGGAATGGGGGGGTGTGGGAATTTCAATTGTTTCTCCCTGGGGATGTTTTCTGGAGCAGCAGCCCCATCCCTCCTGCTTATCCCGGAGGAATAAAAAAAGAGGGAAAAGATTCCCAAAATCCCTCCGGGCTGGGCCGTGGTGACGCGGGGCTGGCTGAGCTCCTGTTCCCATAAATTCCCATTCGTGAAAATTCCCGACAGCTCCAGCGGGGCTGGAAAACCGAGCGGCTCCGGTTGCACTTAACCCCTGCAGGGATTCCCGGCTTTCGCAGGAATTTTGGGAATTTGGGGAGGGTTTTTGTTGGAATTCACCCCCTGCAGGTCGCCGCCCTATGGAATCTGCGGCTCCCGCGGGATTTGGGATCTTTCCCGATGTTCCCAAAGCCCTCCAGGCGCCCCCAAACTCCTTTTCCAGACGAATTCATTCCCTCCCGGCCGGCCGGGCTGGAGCCCATCCCGGGCTGCTGGAATGAATTCCCTGCTTGGAATTCTGCATTCAGGCTCCCAATTCCCCCGGGATTGATCCCCTGGGGAATATTTTGGGAACTGGAGTTTGGGGAAGCCCTGGGCAGGGAAGGGGAGCCCCAAGGCCTGGCAGAATCCCTCGGGATTTACCTTGGGAATGCCGGGGAGGGCGATGGAGGGGCTGGGATTGGCTCATCCCAAAGCCTCGGCCCCGAGCCCGTTTGTTCCTCCTGCTCCCACTTTTCCTGGTCCCCTGGTCCCATTGTCCCCTGGTCCCATTGTCCCACTGTCCCTGCCCCGCTGCTCTCCTGCTCCCAAACCCCAAGACTCCTCCTCATCTCCTCGTCCTCTGCTCCCTTCTCCTGATCCAGCTTTTCTCCATCTCTTGCTCCCAACTTTTCCTTGTCCCCTGCTCCCCTCTCCTTGTGCCGCTTGTCCCCACCTCCTGGTTTTCCACATCCCCTTTCTTGTCCCATTCTCCTCCTGTTCCCATTCATCCCCAGCCCAAATTCTCATCCTTGTCCCCTTTTCCTGATCCCAAATGTCCTCGTCCCCTTGTTCCTTCTCTTGATCCCTCCTGTCCTTGTCCCACTGTTCCTTTCTCCCGATCCAGCGTGTCCCCATCTCCAGCTCACACTTTTCCTTGGCCCCTGGTCTCTCCTGCTCCCACTTGTCCCAAACCCCAAGACCTGTCCTCATCCCCTGGTCCCACCTGTCCCCTCTCCCGATCCAGCTTTTCCCCATCTCTGGCTCCATCTGTTTTTCCTTGTCCCTTGATTCCCCTGCTCCCCTCTCCTGGTGCCACTGGTCCCCATCTCCTGTTTTCTTCAGGTCCCCTTTTTCCATCCCATTTTCCTCCTGTTCCCATTTATCCCAAACCCCAAAGTCTCATCCTTGTCCCCTCTCTTGTCCCCATCTCCTGGTGTTTCATCTCTCCCACAGTCAGGATTTTCTCCTTTCACAAATTACCCCAAAGTGGAAATCCAGGGAGGAAAATCCTGGTTGAACAAACAGGTTGAGCAAACACCCCTGGGAGAGGGAACCGTTTCTTTTTCCCATGTTTTGGTCACATTTTCCCTCTCCTGGTTCTTCCTGTCCCCTCCCTTGTCCCCAGCTCTGCTCCCCTTTATTTCCCTCTCCCCATCCCATTTGTCCCCTCTCCTTCTCCCCATTCCCATCTCCTGCTCATTCCCTCTCCTCATCCCCAGAATTCCATGAGGGATTAATGCCCAAAACCCCAAATTTGGAGATAAACCCAACCCCCCCAGCCCCAAAATCAGGGATTTTCTCCCAAACCTTTCCCCATCTGGCACAGCCTCAGCCCCAGTGCTGGAGCTGGCACCAGATTTTTCCCTTCTCCGTCATCTTGGCCATCCCTGGATGATGTTTCCCACATTTCCCCGTGCCTGATTTTGGGGTGATTTTTGTGGCTTTTTCACTTCTCCAGAAGCAGACAGGATTTTCTCCTTCCACAAAAACCCCAAAAGTGGAAAACCAGGGAGAAAAATCCCTTTAAAGCAGGTTACACAAACACCCCAGGGAAACGGAACCATTGCTTTTTTCCAAAGCAAACGTTGGAAAAACGAGTTTATAAATGGATTTTTGGGCTTTGTTTTCCTCCCCCCGTGCAGGACCTGCCCTGATTTCCCAGCCCAGCTGCCCTCACCGCACCAACCTGGAGCAATCCCATTTCCTGAGCCGTTTTTCCAGACTTTTCTGTGGCGGCTGGAGGTGGAGGGGCCTCCTCTTCCCGCAGGCATTTCCCAGGCACATTCCCAGTCCTGTTTGCTCAGGGGCAGAGTCGCTGCTGGGGAGGGGGCAGGGAGCCACGGATCCACAGGGCTTGGAAAAGGGAAAAGTGGGGAAAAACAGGGGGAAAAAATCCTGCTTTTCCTTTGGGAAAACCCTGGGAGGCCTCGGTGTTGTTTTCCCAGGTTTAATTAATTCTGGTTTTAAAGTCTCATTGTTGAAATGGGATGGAAACATCTTGGGTTGCTAAAATTAAAGGGAATGGGGAGGATTTGGGGTTGATTCCGCAGGGTTGGAGCAAACATCTCCAGCCCTTTAGGATGGGGGATGCTGGGGGGGGTCCTGAGCTGCTTTTTTACCTTAAAAGTTCAATTTTAGGGCAAAATCAGTGTCTGGGTGAGCAGGGAAAGGGGAGCAATGGGGGCAGAGCTGGATTTGTGGTTTTGGGTGGTGTTGGAGCCCTTGGTGGATTTTTTTGTTGGAAAATACCTGGAAAAGGGGTGGGAGGTTGTCCATGGTGGAGGTGGGAGCAGCTGGATCCTGGAGATTTCCCCTCCAGTCGCATCCCAAGGGATCCCCCCAGTCACATCCCATTCCGGGTGATCCCATGTCCCACCCGAAATCCGCCCCAGGTCCCATCCCAGGGGTTCCTCATGGTCCATTCCATGGATCCCTCGTCTGCCATTCCATGTGCTCCCATCCCAGATCCCATCCCGGGTGATCCCTGCTCCGGATCCCGCACTGGATGATCCCACATGATCCCTATCCCAAATCCCACCCTGGATCACCCTCCAGGATCCATCCCAGCTGATTCCCTATCCCAGATTCCACACTGGGTGACCCCACAGAGCCCATTCCAGGTGACCCCTATCCCAAATCCCACCCTGGATGATCCTCAGGGTCCATTCCAGGTTATCCCTACTCCGGATCATCTCCCAGATCCCATCCCAGGTTATTCCTACCCCATGTCCTGGCTCAGATGATCCCACAGGACCCATCCCAGATGATCCCTGTCCCAAATCCCACCCTGGATGAGCCCCCAGGTCCAGTCCCAGGTGATCCCTATCCCAGATGATTCCCAGTTCCCATCCCAGGTGATCCCTATTCCACATCCCATCCCTCAATGCCCATCCCTGCACCTGACCAAGCTTTAGGGTGGAAAATCAGGATGTGGAGGGATCCAGGAGAAACCAGGGATCCTCCAAACTTCCCAGGCTCCAAGTGCATCCCCGGGACCTCGATTAATTTCATTATTAACCAACACCAGATGGAATTCCACTGGTCATGGATCTGCCAGGCCGGGTCCTGCAATTCCATCAGCTCCTTCTCCTCTAGGGAGACACTTTGGGGAGGAAAACCTGGATTTGGGAAGCAAAATCCCCTCCTTTTCCTGCTGAATAAAACAGGACCATCCTGTCCATCCATGTGTCCATCCCAAGGGATGCTGGTGGGAATTTCCCACTGCTTTCCCAAGCACCAGATTCCAGGAAAAATGGGAAAACGTGGATGAACTTCCTCCATTGTTGGTGGAGCTGCTGGGTTGGGATCCAGGCTCCTGTCCAGGATCATCATCAGGACAAACCATCCTGGGATAAGTGGAAAAAAACACTCCAGGAATTAAACAACCCGAAAATAGAAGGAGAAAAGAAAAGGTCAGGCCTAAAAATACCGGGATCGGTTTGGAGTTGGATCCTGGCATGAAATAAATAATCCAGGTTTATGGGGAGGACTAATTTTAGCCATTCATCGCAACAGCCCGGCGTGACCCTGGAATTCTTTCCGGCTGGATTTTGCTGGATTTGGGGATTTTGGGGCTGGACTTTGCCCCGCTCCCATCCTGGGAGTGTGAGGGAGAAGGAGCTGGGAGCCAGCGTGGGCGTGCTGGGCTCTGCCAGGACCCGCCCGGTTTTCCCGGGAAAACAACTGGGATTGCCAAAGTTCCCAGCCCCAGGGATGGGCTGGAGCGGGGCTGGAGCCCTGGTGGAGCCAAAGGTCCCCACGGAGCAGCTCGGCCCCGTTTGCTCGTTAGCAATGGAGCATTAATTAGAGCCATTGAAATGAATTTTTCTCCCGATTCCTCTGTGGAGGGAATGATCCCATCCCAGGATTCCCCCTCATTGTGGGGAAACCGAGTCACGGCGAGTTTGGGAAAGGTGAATCCTGCTCTGCTCAGCTTTGGGGTGGGGATTGGGGATAAATCCAGTTTTTCCTGGGTTGGAAGAGGGAAAAGGACCCCTGAGATTCTTGGGGGTGGAGACAGATCCCAAAAGAGATGAGATTTGGGATGGGGATGGCCACATCCTGGTCTCCAGCACCTTGCCAGCTTTTTGGGCAAAGGGATGGAGTGGGAAGAGGATGGAGATGAGGAGGGGATTGAGCCTGACCAGGATGATTTGAGGGAATGTTGTCAGCAGGGATCCCAAGGAGAAGCCGAATGAAGCAGCCACCAGGACGTGGGGGGACATTTTTATTGGACTCAGGGATGTCAGGGAATTTTCAGTGGTCTCTGGAATATCTACAGACACGAGACATCCCACGGGGACCCCAAATCCATCTGCGCCCCACACCCGGTGCGGGCGCCGCTTGGTGACGCTCCAACTGGGATAAAAGAGGATTTTTCCAGCCTGGAGAAGGTGGGAGGGGATGGAGGGGCTGGGGGAGAACCACCACAACCTCTGTTCCCTATGGGGAAAAAAAAGAAGGAAAAATTTAAAAAAAAAGCACCACAAAAATCGGTTTTTCCAACGCCCAACATGAGGAGGGAGAGCCAAGGTTTGGGGATTTTCCATGGACGCAGGGAGTTACCTGCGGAATGGAGCTGGAGGCGGCCGACGGGGGCCGTCACTTCTCCGTCATCATCCTCACGAACTCCTCGTAGTTGACCTGCCCGTCGTTGTTGCAGTCGGCCTCCTTGATCATCTCGTCCACCTCCTCGTCCGTCAGCTTCTCGCCCAGGTTGGTCATGACGTGCCGCAGCTCCGCCGCGCTGATGTAGCCGTTCCCATCCTTGTCGAACACCCGGAACGCCTCCCGGATCTCCTCCTCGCTGTCCGTGTCCCTCATCTTCCTGGCCATCAGCGACAGGAACTCGGGGAAGTCGATGGTGCCGCTGCCGTCGGCGTCCACCTCGCCCACCATGTCCTGCAGCTCGGCCTCGGTGGGGTTCTGGCCCAGCGAGCGCATGACGGTGCCCAGCTCCCGCGTGGTGATGCAGCCGTCGCCGTCGCGGTCAAAGAGGGAAAAAGCTTCCTTGAATTCCGCGATTTTCTCCTCCGACAGCCGCTCGGCCATGGTGCTCCCCGCCGGCACGCGGCTCTGCCCCGGCACGCCGCGGCCAGGAGGAGGAGGAGGAGATGGAGATGGAGCCTCCTCCCTCCCAGTGCCTCTCCCCGCAGCAGGCGGAGGAGGCAGGAATGGGAATGGATCCAGAAGGTTTGGGAGCTGGGGAAGAGGAGTCACCCAACCCCCTTGGGCCACCCTGGCTCTCGTCCCGCTGCTCCCACGGTGGCGTTTCAGATCCCAACAAAGCCCTCATGAGGGGTTTGGGCTGTGGTTTCGGGGTGACACACACAATTTCCCCAGTTTCAGGGGTGTTTTGGAGGGGATTGGGGCTGTACAAAGGAGGTGCAGGGGTCCCCCCCAGTCTCCCCAGCCCCAGGCGGTGCTGGCAGCACATCAAAGGCACCGAGGGAGGATCCCCATGCAGGTCCTGGCAGATCCCGGCTGTCCAGAGCTGCCGCTCCCGCCCGGAGCTGCCGGGGCCCTGAGTCACCCCCGGGGCTGGAGCAGGGCAGGGCTGTGGGGTCCTGCCCTGTTACTCAGGGCTGGGCTGAGGGATCTCCCCATTGTCAGGCTGGGTTTACTCATCTCTTACTCAGGGTGTAAAGCTGGGGACAGTGACAAATGAGGAAGTGTTTCTGCATCCAACCATCCGTGGATCCCATCCATCCATCCATCCATGGATCCCATCCATCCATCCATCCATCCATCCATCCATCCATCCATCCATCCACCCACCCATCCTTCATCTATGGATTCCATCTCTCCATCTATCCATGGATCCCATCCATTCATCATTCATCCATGGATTCCATCCATCCATCCCTCCATCCATCCATGGATTCCATCCATCCATCCATCCATGGATTCCATCCCTCCATCCATCCCTCTTTCCTCTGTGCCTACAACAGTCCAGTGACCTTTCCCCAGCCGGATCAAGGAGCTGCCGGAGCCGGAAGTCCCACAGACAGCAGAAGACAATTTCACCTTCTCAATTTCTTTCTATGGGAAATGGGCACCAGTTGATCCCAGTTTAACCCAGTGAGGATTTAGAGCTGTGGGATTTGGAGGGAAGGGCACAAACCAACAGCCAGCCCATGGGACAGCTGAGGAATGGTGGGATGAATCTGGGAGGGGATCGCCCTCCTGGGGAAAACCTCACATGGAGAAAGCCCTGGGCGTGTGGAACGCTGCAATTCCCGGGAGGAATTGTGGGAGCCATGCTGGGAACCTGTCTGGTGAGAGGTTTCGGGGAGGGGAGGCCCTGGCAGCTCCTCCTGTGCAAGAGCTGCTCCCTAATTATCTGTCTGCCTAATTATCTTGCCCTCACTCACTGCTCCGCTCCAGATTTAATGAGATCCACTCCAAACTGGCGGGAAGAGCCGTGGGCAGGCAGAGCTGGCTCGGATCCACCTGGGAGAAGCAAATCCCGACGGATCACCGGGGTTTGGAGCCCTGGGAGGGTTCAGGTGCTGGTTCAAACCGTGGCAGAGGGGCTGGAGCTCGGATGGGGGCATTTGGGGTGCCTGTGTCCCCTGGCTGGGGGTGGAGGGGTTGTGCTGTGGCCCTTGGAGTGGATCAAAGCTGGAATCTGCTGCTTCCTTCCCAGAAAGGCATCCCGTGCCGACATCCACCATCTCCCATCTCCCATCCCACAGATCCTATCTCATCCCATCCCTGTGACCAGCACCCACTGCCAGCATCCATCATCTCCCATCCCATCCCGTGGATCCCATGGATCCCATCCCATCCCCATGACCAGCACCCATCATCTCCCCATGACCAACACCCATCACCTCCCATCCCATCCTATTCCATCTCATCCCATTCCATTCCCATGACCAGCACCCATCACCTCTCATCCCATCCCATTGCTTTACATCCCTGTGACCAGCAGCCACCGCCAGCACTCACCATCTCCCATCCCATCCCATCCCATCCCATCCCATCCCATCCCATCCCATGGATCCCATCCCATCCCCACATCAATTTTCAGGAGAAGGTCAAAGCCAGCCCTTGATTTTGTCTGTGCTTTAAGTGCGCCTCATTTATCAGGATAACGATCCCAATAAAAGTTCCTGCTGGCCCATAAAATCCCAGGATTTATGGCCCAATTACAGCATCCGGGGTGGGCTGTGGGGTCGCACAGGGAAGGGGAGACCACCATGGTGGGGTGGGGAGCACGCAGCCGCCGCTGCCGGGATCGTGGCAGCTCAATTTCCCGGGATGTCTCCACCTGGAGCTGGAACAGTTGGAGCTGCGATGAAGGAGGGCCCCGCAAAGCCTCACACGGAGCTTTCCAGGCTCGGTGTCTGGCTTTGAGGGGCCTCAAACAGGGAATGGGGAGGGAAATTCCCCCAGTGCAGGAGGTGAAAAGCTTCCAGCTGGATTCTCCCCAGATGTGCACAGATGTGTCTGGGTTTGCAGCTGCAGACGCGGCGGGGGGCGGGAGGGGGATGAATCCATGGAAAGAGAGAAAGTTGGGAGGCGGAGAGGGAAATGGCTCCGACAGGGAAAGCTCCGTGGGGCCCTCCTGTCCCTGCACGGGCCCAGACTGATCCCAGCATGTGGGGAGGGGAGGGATCTCCACAAATCCCGGCAGAAACAATGCCAAGGTTTAGCGTGGAAAATGGGATTTTGGAGAGGGTGGGCTCGGGGTTGATCCCAGGATGGCTGTGAGGGTCTCGGGGCTGTTGGAGTAAAATTTGGGATTTGGTGGTTTGTGGGTTGTGTTAGACTTGGCTCACATGGAGATTCCCAAATCCAAGGGCAGCTCCCAAAGCTGGAGCGCAGGGACCCTGATCCCTGATATCCCCATGGAGAAGAGGCTGGGACTGGGATGTGGGAGTTCTTGGAGAGGGCTCTGCCCCTCAGGGACCCCAGCTGTGATCCCGGCTCCGGGAAGGTCCCACCCCGGCACGCTGCAGAGCTGGGCGGATCCCGAGGGCGAGCCCGGATCCGGGAGCTGCTTACCCAGGGCGGAGCCGCCACAGCCCCGGGCACGGCCCCGGCCCCTTCCTGGCACAGGGATGGCACCACAGGCTGCCCTCTGCCCTTGGGAACTTCATCCTGCTGTATCCCGGGGTTCCACAGCCACGGGATGGGGGTCCTGGCTCAGCAGAGGCACAGAGAGAGCCAGGAGCCCGTGGAATTGCATGGGAGGAATCCAGGGGAGCAGGGCTTGTTTAGTCTGGAGAAGGGAGGGCTGAGCCAGCTGCACATTCCTGCAGGAGGGACAGAGCAGGGAGAGGAACCAGCAGGAGTTGTGGGGAACTGTTTAAAGGGAATGACTTCCAAAGGGAATTAGGGAGTTGTGGCTGATTTGCTGTCGGCTGCGGGCTGAGGAGACACAGCCCCAGCCCAGCAGACAGTCCTGGGATTTCCTCTCCCTGGCTCCAGCAGCTCACTGCTGCCTTTCTGCAAAGAGCCATTATCCCAGCTTCTCCCTGCTCGGCAAGGGCTGAATTCCCTCTGCATCAAATCAGCCTCAGAGGTCAGGGCCCGGCTGTGAATCCTGTCCCTAAAACCGAGCAAACCGAGCTGCTCCTTCCCTCCTGGGGGAGCGGGGCCAGCCTGGGGCCGGGACCACTGGCCCTGGGAGAGATCCCAGTGTCCATCATCCCCATCCCATGGATCCCATCCCATGGATCCCATCCGTAAATGTGCAAATCCTGTCCCTAAAACCGAGCTGCTCCTTCCTTCACTCCCAGGAGAGTGGGGCCAGCCTGGAGCCAGGATTGCTCTCCCGGAGCTGCAGCCAAGCCTGGACACCCCATGCAAGTTCAGGCTGGAGGTTTTCGGGAAAACTGGGAAAACTGGATGGGTTTATCCTGGTACAGTAACTCCCTGGAAGCTTCCTTGGGATCAGGCCAGCAGGATCCCCTTCCCAAGGATTTGACATTTACTAAATGAGGACCCTCCTGCTGATGGGGTGGAATCCCAGTGCTCCCTTTCCCTGGGAAACTGAGCACAGTCATAAACTCAGCTGCTCTGCTCGTGTCCTGCCGGGACACAGCAAACAACAGGACATGGAGCTGTACAATTCCAGCTTGTCCTGCCTGGACATGGCAGGAGGGCAGGGGCTCCTCCTGGAGCCTCAGCTTGGAGAGATCTGTCCTTACCCTGAGCCAGCCCCTGAGCACGGACACATCCCTCCCTCCCTCCCTCCCTCCCAGGCAGGACTCGGATGAGGCAGGAGAGGCTGTCAGGATTTAATGGAACTTGGCACTGGAAACTGTACAACATTTACAGAGAACCACACACTGTGTCTATGTACACCTCTGCCCATTCCCAGAGCTCCCAGCCGGACACAGGACAGGCAATCACAATCCCTGGATGTGGAGCCACCGCTCCCCAAGCCTGGATGGATTTTGGGATATGGCTCCCCAATCCTGGATCTCAGGTGACAGGGATTCCAGGATCCCACTCCAGGATCTCAGGTGACAGGGATTGCAGGATCCCACTCCTGGATTTCAGGTGACAGGGATTGCAGGATCCCACTCCAGGATCTCAGGTGACAGGGATTGCAGGATCCCACTCCTGGATTTCAGGTGACAGGGATTGAAGGATCCCAGTCCCCCATCCTGGATTTTGGGTCACAGGGATTTCAGGATCCCACTCCTGGATTTTGGGTCACAGGGATTGCAGGATCCCAGTCCCCCATCCTGGATTTCAGGTGACGGGGATTGCAGGATCCCAATCCTGGATTATGGGGTCACAGGGATTGCAGGATCCCACTCCTGGATTATGGGGTCACAGGGATTTCAGGATCCCACTCCTGGATTATGGGGTCACAGGGATTGCAGGATCCCACTCCTGGATTATGGGGTCACAGGGATTGCAGGATCCCACTCCTGGATTATGGGGTCACAGGGATTGCAGGATCCCACTCCTGGATTACGGGGTCACAGGGATTGCAGGATCCCACTCCTGGATTAAGGGGATCACAGGGATTGCAGGATCCCACTCCTGGATTATGGGGTCACAGGGATTGCAGGATCCCACTCCTGGAT